TGGATGGCGGGACAGCTGCACCAGAGCGTGAATGAATGGTACACTTAAAACGGTTAAGATGGTCAATTTTGTTATGTGTATTTTACCACAATAAAACAAAAATTAGGAAAAAAGAGACCTTTCCATATGACCCAACAAGAGTTAGAAAAATCACCCTTTTGTAACCACGCTAGGCGAGAATCCACAATAAATGCTAAGATCCTTGGGCGGAAGTCTGTTTGAGAGCGGGATACTTACACAATCTCAAAGTATCTTCCTACAGATTACATATTAGCTGCAAAGAGAAAAACGTGTTATTCGAGAACCCCGACGAACGTCGTCTTCACCAAGTGACCAAGTCAGCATCCCCGGGGATGCAATAAATGAACACGGAGGGCCTCCTGATACACACCCTGAGGACACGTCGCTTCTGCTTCTGTGACGTTCCCGCCAAAGTGTCCGGCCTGCGTCAGGTCATGAGCCGCCAGCAGGCAAACGCACTCTGGGGACGTCCCACAGAATGACAGGCCTGTACTCCTCCAAAGGGTCAAGGCTGTGAAAGACAATGGCTCAGGCTGCCCTGGGGGAAAGGAGACCCAGGACACGTGAAACCAAATGCGGCGAGTGGTCCCCCACTGGGTTCTGGAATGGAGGACAAGTAGCTTCAAAAGGCAATATTGGGACAACTGAGGACATTTTCCCATGGGCTGTATATTAGATATTATCGTAACAGTGCAAGATTCACCCTCTGCTTCCATAACAAAAGTATTTCCTATTTTCATAGGAGATACATGGGTTTGGGTGTAAAGGAGCACAGTATCTCCAACTTACTCTAAAATTATTTAGAAATATTAAGGAAAAGAATGTGCGTATTGTCTAAAGAATATATGATATTCTTTTAGATTACGTTTATAGAGAAATACAAAGCAAAAGGTTAACCACGGGCAGAACTAGCGCACAGGTCAGCCAATTTTTTCTGCAAAGGGCCAGATAATTTTGGCTCTGAGGGCTGTTGCAACTCTGCCCCGCTTTCCCCAAGAAAGCTGCCAGAGACTATAGTTATAGGTAAATGAACAGGTGTGGCTGTGCCAATAAAACTTTATTTACTTTATTTACGAAACAGGCATAGGTAATTTGCTGACCCCCGATGGAGATGAAGGACAGATGGGAGCTCATCGAAATACTTTTGAAATTTCTGTAGATTTGAAATATTTTCAAAATAAAAAAAAAAAAAGTGAGTGAAATAAATATGGATTTTTCACTTTGCGGTCAGAGTGTGTCTCTAAATATCATTTCCCGTTAAAAAGGAAACGAGGCTCTTTGGAGAAATGGCCGAACGCAGAGCTGGGCCCGGAAAGCACAGGATGAGCCGAAAGCATCTCGCTTGTGCCTGAGCTCCACACTCAAGACCACCGGGGTCACGTCGAGGGGACCGAGGAGCCAACTCAAAGAGGGACGCCTGGGCGCCAGGCCCTATCGGGAGCCGGAAGAGGCAAGGGATGTCCTGCCCCAGTGCCCCCAGAGGGAGTATGGCCTCCAAAATTGGGAGACTTTGTTTCTGTTCTTTCGGGCTGCCCAGTCTGTGACACTTCATTATAGCAGCCCCGGGAAACTAATACAATCCCTGGCCAGCACGCCTCTAAAATGCCAAGGTCATCAAAACCAGGGGAGTCAGAGAAACCACCAGAGCCAAGCCAAGGGGAGCCCGGGATGTGATGGCTGGACACCACCACCTCCTGCCCAGAGTGCGTGCCTTCCCAAACAGCTCTCCGTGCCGTGCCCTGCCCAGGTCGGGGGACAAGAACTTTGTTCCTTCCTTTTCCGTGTTTCCACCCCACCTGGGACAGGCGACCGGAGAAGGGACTGGGGGGGGGCGCGGATAAATGGGACACCCTTGAAAAATCATCATTCTCTAGAATGTCATTTCTTTAATGTCTACTCCGCAGGTGAGGGAATAAATACAGTAGGTTTTAAGATGCAGGGCGCCCAGCCCCCAGCGTGGGAAGGAGGGGGATGCTTGTGAGCCTCAGTTTCCTTCCGCTGCAAACCAGGACAGGACGCACTTTGAGCCACGAGGCTCTGAAAGCGACGCCGTTTTCCAGGGTTCTTTTCCCAAGAGAGCTACTCAGACCTCAGGCTGGGAGATGCCGTGTCCTTCCGCCAGGGGGCGCCAGAGTCCCGCGCCTCGGCCCAGAAGACCAGTCCCCCGTCCCTGGGGTGTGCGTCACCCCCACGGGCCTCCACACTCCTGCCCAGAAGCGGACGTACCCCGAGGTGGGGGGCCCTGAGAGAGCCCCACCCACCTTTTCCTCCACCCTGGCATCGCAAATGGCCATCGTGCTCCCTTTCCAAGGTAAAACTGACTCAAGGGAGGGAACCCCAGGGGCTGTCCTGGCAAGGGGCAGAGAAGGGAGCGGCAGCGACTGGCCTTCCATTCCCGACTCACTCGTGGCCCTTCCTCCACCCGGGCCTAGAGCGACAAGGGACACCCGGGCTCGCTGGGCGCCGGCCCTGCCCGCAGGTCCCGCCTGCCACACGCGGGTCCGAGCCCCGGCGTGGCGCGGCCTGGGTCACAGCAGGTTGATCTCGTCCAGGTAGCGAGCCAGGACCGAGTCCCGCACGTCCTTGAAGACCTTGCGGATGTTCTGCGTGTCCGTGGCGCACGTGTAGTGGCTGAAGAGGCGCCGGGAGCGCGGACCCTTCTTGCCGCCGTCGGCGCCGTCCACGCAGCCGGCGAACATGCCGCTGTACATGTCCAGGATGAACCGCTTGGCTGCCTCCGCGTCCTGCTTCGGGCCTGGGAGTTGAGGGGAGGGGGGTGGCACTCAGGGCACGAGGCTCCCAGGGCAGGCGGGCCAAGGGGAGGCTCCGCGGACCCTCGTAGTGGGCAACTGAGGGCTTCAGGTACCCCGGGAACCACCTGCCCGAATCCAGCAGGCGGACGCCACCTTTTGTCTTTCCAGCCGGTCACATGACTCGGGCCCAGCCAATGGAAGCATCAGGCGGGAAGCATCACATGACCCGGGGTGGACCAATGAGCCTCGGCTCTGGGACTCTGGGCGGAACTGTGTCGGAGAGAGACCTCCCCCTCTCTTGGCGGAGCTTGGAGCTCGGGGGAAGGGAGCCTGAATCTGCAGAGACAGGCTGGTGCAGATGGGGAAACCGAGGCCAAGAATAGGAAGGTCTGGCCACGGGGACGAGGCACATGGGCCGCTGTGCTCAAAGCACAGCGCAAGTTAAGGGCCCAACGCTTGGCCCTGCTACTTGCTGGCCGGGTGACATTGTTAGTCCACATAACCTCTGTGAGCCTGTTTCCCCATTTATCAAATAGGGATCGGAATAGCCCCCCGCCCCCCACGGCTGTGAGGGTTCCATCATAGTGAGGGTGCCATGCTCAACAATCAGCAGCCTTCATGAGTGTGCGTCTGCGCTGTTCCTTCAGAGAGGCAGGTTAGCGGGGTGGTTAAGGCCTGCCGGCTCAGATTCCAACGGCCTGGGTTGGAATCCTGCCTCTGCCACGCCCTGGCTGTGTGACTTTCGGCAAGCGACTGCCTCTCTGAGCCTCAGTTTCCCCATTTCTAGAGAACGAGTCCTACCGCACAGGGTTTTAAATGAAGATTAGACACGTCAACGTGTGAGGGTGCCTCTGTGTGTGTTCCCTCTGTTAGCTGTTGTTGGTTTACTATTAACATCACAAATATTATTTAGCGTAGAGGAGGGAAGGGCCGAGAGCCAGAAGTTGGCATACAGTGCTCCAGCCTCTTTGGCGGGGAGAAAAGGATGCATCGTGGGGGTTCCCTTTGACCTGAAGGAAAGCAAGCAGTCCTCAAAACTATCCACTTTATCCCTGTTCCCAAACTGTCCAAGCCATGGTGCCCTCTAAGTGCTGCTCCGCTTGGGAGGGCATGAGGGGGGTCCAGGCCACCATCCTGAATCAAGGTGACATCTGTTGCCCAGCCCCTGAATCTTGTGGGTATGATTGGCAGGGATTGGCCACGTGGGCTCTGACGAGGTCGGAGGGTCACACCCAGGATGACGTCACCAAGGCTTAGGCCATACCAAGCACGTCCTAAGGGCTTTATCTGCCATGAATATAGAATTGTGTATTGGGGTGAATCGTGTTCCCCCCTCAAATTCGTGTCCACTCGGAACCTCAGAATATGACCTTATTTAGAAATAGGGTCTTTGCAGATGGAACGAGTTAAGTTGAAATGCGGTCACCCTGAATTAGGTGGGGCCCTAAATTCAGTGATTCGCGCCCTTATACAAACAGGAGAGACGACCAGACACAGAGAGGCCGCGTGACGAGGGTGGCAGGGACTGGAGTTCTGCATCTATAAGTCGAGGAACGCTAAGGATCCAGGCAACCACCGAGAACCAGGAGAGAGGCCTGGAACGCGGATCCTCCTGCAGAGCCTCCCGCGCTCGGGAGACGCGACGCGAACCTACGGGCTGCAGGTGCAGTGGGATCGATGGCGGCTGCACCAACGCAAACGGAGCCGCGCGCCTTGGCCAGCCTCGTTCAAGGTCGGTCGCGGATTAAAAAGAAATTGCTATCCGGTTAGATATAGATGAGACAACTATGAAAGACTGGAAAAAGGGAAGTTTCAAGAACCTAAGCAAATGCCAGAAATGGCTGTCAATGCTCCCCGCTATGGTTTACGTATATGGACGCGAACTCAAAACAAACATGTCTCTTCGGAAGCCCCTGCTTTGAGCAATTGCGAGTACGAAGGCTGAACCCTCCCGTCTTCCTGTGTTCCCAGGCTCGGGGAGGGCTCGGCCTGGTGTCTCTCCCTCAGGAGGGGCCGGGAGGTGAAGGGCATCGAAAGGTCTACAGCACTCACCCTGGAAACTGGGGAAGTAGGTAGCCAGGTGGGAGGTGGAGATCTTCTCCTCCAGGATGTCGGTTTTGTTGAGGAAGAGGATGACGGATGTGTTTTTGAACCAGGGCAGCTCCAGGACGGTGCCGAACAGGGCCAGACTCTCCTTCATTCGGTTCTGGGTTGGGGGACATAGGCAGGTCCTTGCTGCAGTCGGCCAGCTCGGCCCACACAGGAGCCCTCCCGTCCTGCCCAGCCAGGTCTGAGGGGCGTGGCCAGCTGCCCACCCACCCGTGTGCCCGACACAGTTTTTGTGCCTCCGCTGGTTTGACTAGCATCCCCCCAAAACTCACGTCCACCTGGAACTTCAGAATGTGGCCTTATTTCCAAATTCGAAGGTGTAATTAGTTAAGAAGAGGTCATACGGGAGTAGGGTGGCCCTAAGTTCAATGACCAGTGTCCCCGTGAAAAGGAGAAATTAGGACACAGAAAAGCACACAGGGAAGACACCATGTGAACATGGAGGCAGAGACGGGGCGGTACATCTACAAGCCAAGGGACACCATAGAATGCCAGAGTCACCAGAAGCCGGGAGAACCTGGAATGGATTCTCCCTCATGGCCTCAGAAGGAACCAGCCCTGCTGACGCCTCGATCTCAGACTTCCGGCGTCCAGAACTTGGAGAGACACCCTTCTGTCGTCCCAGCCCCCCGCTTTGTGGTCATTCGTTAAGGGTGGCCCGAGCAAACTAGGACATCTCGTGTGGCTGGATCTGAGCAAGAGCTGTCAGAACGACCTCAAACTCGTCCTGTCTGATTCAGTGCGAGGGTGGAAATCGTAAGGTCGCCCCCTCGGATGCCCAAACTGCCAGGTGAACCTTTAACCACTACGAGTGCACACGCCGCACCTGGAGGCGAGCCCGACCTTCACGCCGGTGTGAATCAGGGGAAGAGGTCGCAAAAGGAGACCGATCCGCACCAGCATTTCTGAGAAAAAGTGTGATGTCCCTGCAATGTGACGGTATTCCCAGGACAGCCTGCGTTGTGCTTCCGGGGGTCTGTGAGTGTATGTGTGTGTGTGTCACTGGCAACACTAACACTGTGGATCCGAGACTTGGGGCTCTGTGGTCTGATCATGACAGAGTGGAGGGGGAGGCTCAGAGCCACGCCAGACACACTCAGGCCCGCTCACGAGCGGCTCTGGGCTTCGACGCAGCTGCAGGTCCCTGGGCCAGCGGGGAGGAGAGCGGAGGAGAGGGCGCCCCTGCATCCGCGGTGGCCCCTCACCTCTTGGTTGTCCTCTTCCAGGCACTGGTCATACTCGCTCAGGGAGGCCAGGTAGATGAGGGCGATCACGTTCTCGAAGCAGTGGATCCACTTCTTTCGTTCTGACCTCTGGCCCCCGACGTCCACAATCCTACCGGAATGGCCCCCCTTTCAGAGCTCAGGCCTAAGCAGGACCCCACGATGTGGCACCCCAGACCCAGTCACTAGCGGCAAGACTAGGGGCCGGCCCGGGGCCCACACCTCTTGTGCGTTATTATCTCGTTTCACACCCACGGGCAGGTATCACTATTACACCCTTTATACAGATGAAGAAACCGAGGTGCAGAGACGAGGGGACTTTCCCGAGCTCCCCCGGCCCTGGGCTGCCTGATTTCTACCCCCGCGGTGGAGGACAGCAGGTCAGACACACGGAGTCTGCCCTGGTTCTGGCTGGGTGCTCCAGGGGAAATGGCAGACTGGCTCCATGACTCAGTTTCCCCATCGGTGAAGTGGGGATGCTGTGTTCTGGCTGGCCAGGGGAGCGTCCAGTGGCCACACAGATAGGCAAGCACCATCCCTCTGTGTGTGGCCCGAGGCGAAGGCCCGGCCTCCACCCCCACACGCCACAACAAAAGCCTGAACCCTCCCGTCTTCCTGTGTTCTCTTCTAAGAAATGTGGGTCACCGATAAGCCCTGCGTCATTTCCCTGTTTCCCCGGGGATATGACCGTTACTCAGGCAGCCGACAGGAAATGCCAGAGGCCTCAGAGCGAGAAGGGACCTGCCCCGCTGAACAGGAGTGGCTCCTGATCCCCGAGACCAACCCCTCTCAGGCACCGGGCTCCCTCAAACCCGCACATCCAGAGTGGGATGTGGGTGCAGTGGTCGACAGCGGGGCTCTGGAGACTGAGAAGAGGTGGGGTACGCCGCTTGCCAGCCTCGCAACTCAGAATCTCAGTTTCCTCTGAGCCATCACTCTATTCATGGACCCCCTTCCTTGGCCTAAGACATACTCAAGTCTCCCACCTAACAATCTCCTCCCCAGCCCAGTTTTCCGTGTGAAAGTCTCAACCTCTATCTTCAATCCTAAACTTTTACCTATCCATCCACTCATCTATCCACCCACCCACGCATGCATGCATTCATGAATCCACCATCAATCCATCCATCCACCCACCCATCCACACATCTATCCATCCATCATCCATCTATCCATCCACCATCTATCCATCCATCCACCCATCCACACATCTATCCATCCATCATCCATCTATCCATCCACCATCTATCCATCCATCCACCCATCCACACATCTATCCATCCATCATCCATCTATCCATCCACCATCTATCCATCCATCCACCCATCCTTGCATTCATGAATCCACCATCAATCCATCCATCCACCCACCTGTCCACTCACCCATCCATCCATCCTTCCACCCACCCATCCACACATCTATCCATCCATCATCCATCCATCCATCCATCCATCCACCATCTATCCATCCATCCACCCATCCACCTATACATGCATTCATGAATCCATCATTAATCCATCCACTCACTTTGCATTCATGAATTCCATCCATCCATCCATCCACCCATCCACACATCTATCCATCCATCATCCATCCATCCATCCACCATCTATCCATCCATCCACCCACCTGTCCACCCACCCACCCATCCATCCATCCACCCACCCATCCACACATCTAACCATCCATCATCCATCCATCCATCCACCATCTATCCATCCATCCACTCACCTGTCCACCCATTTATCTATACATCCATTCATCCACCCATCCATCCACACATCTGTCCACTCATCTACCTATCCATCCATCCAACCATCCATCCACACATTTATCTATCCACCCATTCACACATCTATCCATCCATCCAACCATCCATCCACACATTTAACTATCCACCCATTCACACATCTATCCATCCATCCATCATCCATCCACGCATCCACCTACCCACCCACCCATTCATCCTTCCATCTTTCCAGCCATTTCCCCACATTTACCAACTTCCCCTCTGACCTTGATCTAGTCCTCACTAGAAGCAGGAGACTGAAACTCAGCCCTAACCTTGTAGGATTCTCCATCTAGTGGGAGAGACCCATGGCAAACAGATAAATTATGAACATTCGCAGAAAGGACCATTGCAGAGGCCAGAACAGCATGTTTGGGGTGGAGGGAGAGTGGTCCAGGGAACTGAGAGACTCAACACAGGTGGGCCGAACAGAACCCTGCACCCTCCTCCACAGCTCCCTGCCATCAGCCCACAGACACCGAGCTTGCTAAGGTCTCAGATGAGCCTCTAACTGCCAATCCCAGAAGCCTCCTCTCCCGCTGTATTCTTCCTGGCCTCTCCTTGGCTTTTGGCATTGGCCATCATTCTGCCTGGACGCCACCTTACTGCACTGGCCACCCACACCTCTGCCTTCCATCTCAGGCCTGTGTGCGTCCAGCCGCCTCCCAAATGCTCCAGACTCCTCAGACCCAACGTGCCTCAAGGACTCCATCATCTATCTAAACCCCGCACCCCACCATCACCCTACCCATCACCTTGATGGGAAACTTGGGGGTCGTTTTCGACTCCTTGCTCCAGTGCCCACACTCACCTAGTCCTGCCCATTCCAGATCAGAAACATTTCTCGTATGATCCCCTCACTCCAGCCGCATGGCCGCCGCCCTGGCCCTTACCAACCCCTCCTGTCTGGACCATGGCTCCCACTTCCTCCTGAACTCCGGACCCCTAGCCTCACCCCTCCCTGACCGCAAGGGGAATCACCCTCTGAGTTTCCCCAGCCCAAACCCAGCTCTCTGGCACAGCCCTGACCACACGGCCCGTCCCCCTCTGCCCAGCAGCCCCTCAAGGGTTGGCGCTAGAGAACTCCTACTCATCCTTCAGTGCCCTAACACCAGTGTCCCCTCCCCCAGGAAGTCCTCCCCTCCCGGAGCTCCGATGCCTCACTCTGGGCTCCCAGGCCCCAGTGCTAATGGCATGGAGGGTGGCGGGTGTCATGTCCAGCTTCGCCTCCTTCAGCCTGGAAGCCCCTTGAGGGCGGCTCAAGGCCCTAGCGGCTTTGCCCCTCCTCCAGGAAGCCCTCCCCACTACGCAGGCTGCGTGCTCACCGCAGGCTGGTTTTCTGCACAGAGAAGCAGTATTCGTTGATGCCGGTGGTGGGCATTCGGCTGCGAAGCACGTCCTGGGCTGTGGGGACGTAGTCTTCCTCGGTGATGCGCTCCAGGTGTGACAGGTAGCTGGGGAACGAGGAGCCCTGAGCCCCGCCCTGCATCCTCCCTGACTCCTAAGACCCGCCCCCCGCTCCGCCCAGGGCCCAGTGAGGACCCTGCTAGAGGAGGAGACCCCCCACAGGAGGGGCCGGGACCTCTGGGGCCTTCGGGTGGCCCAAGAGCACCACCCTGAAGCCATGGGAGCATCATGGAGGAGCAGCTTCACCCTCAGAGCAGCCCGACCCCAAGGACCGTGTGGCCTCAGGAATAGCCTCGCTGGGGAGGGGCGTCACCCTGGAGGAGCTGTCACCCAGGAGTGGCATCGCCCCCCAAATAGTGATGGCCTGGGTGCAAATCACCCTAGACGCCCAGCATCGTGCCGAGGAGAGTATCACGGTGCGATGATGAACAGTGTCACTCCAGGAACAACTTTACCCCAGGGACAATGTCACACCGGGGACAACGTCACCCTGGAGCACGACCATCCCACAGCTGGCCTGAGCCTGACAGCACATCCCCGCGGGGGGGAGCCGGCCAGCCTGGGGCCCCTCTGTCCAGGTGTGACCCTGGAACTGGATCTCCGCGGACCTCGTCCCTGCCTGCCACCGTGCGCAGCGCCCACCGCCAGCGGACCCCAGACTCACTACACCGCTGAGTCAAGCAGGTGGAACTCGCGGCGGCGCTCGTAGCATGCCTGGATGCCGGCGTCCGTCCACAGCCACTGCATGGCCACCGCGTAGCGCTTCTCGAAAATGGTCACTTTGTAGGGGTCCTGGCTCATGACCAGGCTGGCGTGGTGCTGGAGGGACAGACGGAGCTGGTCAGAGCGGCCTCCAGACACCCCCGCGAGCCCCCTGCCCCTCCTTTCCCAGGGCCCCCTGGAGTCTGCGCGCCCCTTGCACACCTGGTGCGTCCTGCTTTTACCCACGACGGAAAGCGCCTGCGCGGCAGGAAGGGCCGCGGAGGGCGTGGCTTCCTGAGGACCCGGAGGGCAGGGCACTTAGCACCTCCTAAGGATGGGGCACCCCTCTGCTCTATCAAAACGCGGTTCCTGGACTCCTAGGAGACATATCCCTACGGGCCCCCCCCCGGGCCCCCCCCCCCATTTTACAGATTAGGCCACTGAGGCACAAGAAATCAAGCAACTCGCCCAGGTCTCACACCAAAGTAGAGGCACATAGCAGCTCTGTGGGACTGGGTAATGAACGCCTGGGTTATTTGTGAACAACCCCGGTGTGGGAGCAATTTAAAAGTTTGCAGCTTGTGTGGGCTGAATCGTGTCCACCGCCCCTGCCCTCTGCCGATTCCTATGTTGAAGTTCTAAGTCCCAGGACCTCAGGATGTGACTGTATCGGGGTGGGGGGGATCTTACAGAGGTGATCAGGTTAAAACGAGATCATCTGGGTGGCCCCGATCCAACATATGAGCGGTGTCTTTATAAGAAGAGATTAGGACAAAAACATGCACAGAAGGACGACCTGGTGAGGACAGGAAGAAGACAACCATCTGCAAGCCAAGGAGCGAGGCCTCCGGAGAAACCGACCCTCCTGACCCCTGGATCTCAGACTTCCCGCCGCCAGAATTGTGAAAAAATAAATTTCTGTCGTTCGAGGCCTCCAGACAGTGGCACATGGTTCTGGCAGCCCGAGCAAACTAATAAAATAAATGGACTCCAAAGTTTTAAAAAACACGATCAAAATGAATAATAATTTTAAAAGCAAAAATCAAGACAAACATCCCTCTGAAAATGCAGAGTGACGGTTATCTTCAGCGAAGGCCCTTAACGTACTCTGGATGAAGTGAACGTGAAGTCTTTGCTCTCAAAAGACAGGAGACTGGAAATGATAGGAAGATGTCCGCTGTCACCGTTTCTAATTAACACTCTGCGTAGGTCCCAGCCAGGAGAAAGAAATGAAAGGTGTCAGGTTCGAGAAGGAAAAAAATCACACTGCGCTTATTCACAGATGACACGACAATACGTAGAAAATCGAAAACAATCTGGAGATAAACTGTTAGAATAAACGAGTGAACTTAACGAGGTCCCCAAACCCAAGATCAGTAAACAAAAATCAAATGCCCGTCTCTATACTAACCACGAACTGGTGGAAATTTTTTAAAATTTAAATCCCATTTAGGACGTGGTTCCATAGTGTAGCGGTGAGCACGTCTGCTTTACACGCGGAAGGTCCTGAGTTCGCGCCTCAGTGGAGCCACAGTCCCTGGTCTACGGCCACGCCACCCTGAACGAGCCCGATGTCTGATCTCGGAAGCTAAGCAGGGTCGGGCCTGGTTAGTACTTGGATGGGAGACCACCCAGGGAGACCAGGTGCTATAGGCATAAATAATAATAAATAATTTTAAAAAATTAAATCCCACTTATAGTAGCATCAAAAGATAGTAAATATCTGACAATAGATGTGAAACTAACAAAGCTCTCATACACGAAATGCACAAAGAGTCTGCTACAAATCGGTAAAAAAAAAAAATGAGGAACTACACTTTGTTTAAACGGGAAAAAACAAAAAAAAACAAACACGAAAACAAAACATGGGCAAAAGATCTGAACAGTGGCTTCATAAGAAAAGACTATCCAGTGTCCGACAAATATGTAATAAGGTATACGACCTCATTACTAATCAGATAAGTGCAAATCAAAACCATAATGAAATACTACCAAACACCCAAGAGAATGGCTCAAACGAAGTGACAGACAGTCTCAAGTGTTGGCAAGGGTGTGGAGGAAGGGGAACTCTGTGTACTGCTGGGAAACTGTGAATCGCTATCATTACTCGGAAAAGTTTGGCATCTCCTACTAACGTGATCGTACACGTCCCTTATCATCCAAATCTACTGCTCGGTAGATACCCGATGGAAATGCATATATTTGCAAAAAAATATATGCAGACGATCCAAATGTCAACATTAGGATGGATAAATAAAACCACGGCATATACTCTTACGGTGGAAATAAACCACGACTATGCCCCAAAAGGTGGATGAATCGCAGACATACTGTACAGCACCAAAAGCCAGACATGAAAGAACATTCTGGAAAATTCCAGAAATTATGAGGTCAAAAACAGGCAAGGTGACGGAAGACGAAATAGTAGTTATCCTCGTGGGGAGCCTCCTTCTCACCTATGAAATGGCGTCATAGCCGAAAGGGGTTACTGTGAAGATTAAGTAATCATATCACCCACTAACACTTCCTGGGCCGATGCTACATTCCAGGCAATGTTCTGAGAGCTTTGGGCACTTTAATTCAGAACATTCTTGCATCAGCGCCACGAGGTAGGAGCCGCCCACTCCCGAAAGTTCTTCCACGGTCCTTGGACCAGCACAGACAGACTCACAGAGCAGCAGCTTTCAGATTTTATGAAGGTGGCGGGATGAGCGACTAAGTGTCTATTATATTTCAGAAAAGCTGGGAGCGGGGGGGCAGATGATATGACCTTACATGTGTAGGACGGCTACTCTAAAAAAAACAAAACAAAACAAAAAAAAACAAAGAAAAAAACAGCAAGTGTTGGAGAGGATGTGGAGAAACCGAAACCCTTGTGCGCCATTGCCAAACAGCATGCAGGTTCCTAAAAAGATTAAAAACAGAAACGCCACGCTACCCAGCGATTCTACTTGGTGTTTAACCACAAGGATTGAAATCAAGATCTGAAAAAGATGTGAGTGCTCCACACCGCCCCCCCAACCTTCACGGCAGCACTGTCATCAACAGCCAAGATGCCCAAACGACCCGAGGGGCCATCACAGGTGAATGGATAAAGAAAACGTGGTCTGAACATGCCATGGGACAGTATTCAGCCTTTAGAAAGAAGGCAATAGTGTAACCGGCCACGGCGTAGGTGAACCCTGAACACGCCATGTTAAGTGAGATAAGCCAGACACAGAAGTAATCCCGCTTCTGGAGGCGTCCAGAACAGGCAGACTCAAGAGGACAGGGCCCGGCGGCTCAGGGAGGGGGACGTGGGCTTCCAGAGCTGCTATTCAGTGGGCAGAGCCTTTCAGTTACCCAGGATGGATAGTTCTAGAACTCTGCTGCATGACTCCCCATCTCCAGTTACCAAGAATGTGTTGTGCTGGTGAAGTTGAGGTCAGATCTCACATCGAGTGTTCTTCCCACAATGAAAGAACGTAAACTAAAAAATGTGCTGCTGACTCGGGACTCCACCCCCACCCTGCATCATGAGCTCTGGGGTACAAGGGGGAGGGGAGACAGGCGAGGGGGAGCATGCTGGGGCAGATCCCCAAAACCCTGGGGGGCTGTTTCAGCTTTAACAAGGACCTGGGTGAGCAAGTGGACATGAGCCCATCTCAGAAGCCTGGACCTGGGCGCCTCACGGACCCGTTCCCCCGGCGTGGCACCCCCGCGGCAGCCCCAGGTGGCTCACCTTGCTCTCCGGCCTGCTGAAGGGGATCTGCAGCCGGTCCATGGCCTCGATCATGGCGCGCATGGACACGAAGATGTTCTGGTAGACGAGCGGCCGGAAGCCCTTGCGGTCCTCCTCGGAGTAGCCGGCGCCGTGGATGATGCGCATCTGCTTGATGAACGTGCTCTTCCCGCTCTCGCCGGGGCCTGCGGGACGCGCGCGCGCTCAGTCGCAAGCCAGGCCTCACGGGTTCGGATCCCCGCTGGGCCAGGGCCGCGGGGACGCGGGGTGAGCCCCTTCGCCACCCTAGGCCTCGGCCTCCCCACCTGTAAGCCGTGGACCGGGGCGGGCCTTGCCTCCCAGATCGAGGAGAAAGTGAGCTCCTAGGAAAGGGTCCGCAAACTGTGGCCCTCGGGCCAAATTCAGGCCACTGCCTGTTTTTTTTTTGCGGGGCCAGAGAGGTTTCACAGCCTGTACGGCTTTGTCCATTGCTAATGCTTTTCATAGTTTCGGTTTTTACACTTATGAATGGTTGAAAGGAAGCAAAAGTAGGGTGTTTCACGCCACGGGAAAATCATATGAAATTCAGGTTTCTGCGTCCATCCATACAGTTTTACTGGCCCATGGCCAAGCCCACTGGCCGACAGCTGTCTCTGGCTGTGTTCTCAGCAGCAGGGCTCAGCGGCCAGACAGGAACACCACGGCCCAGAAAGCTGAAAATATTCCCTGGTCCCCTACAGACGAGGTCTGTGGACCCTGGCTGAGAATAGGCCTCGGCGGGTAAGAGCTACATTCGCGGTCGCTATTAGTAGTAGTGTTAGTGTTTGCCACTGTTATCATTACTATTATTGGCTATACTAATTTCAGGTAGAGAAAGTTTTATGAAAGACACGACACAGGAGAAGTAGATTACGAGCGTCTAGGTGACGACTGTTGCCGAGAGTCAGGGAAGGCCCCACTGTGGAGGTGACGTGTGGGGTTGGGATCTGTAGGCTGGGAAGGGTCGCCCTTGTGCCAAGGTTTAGAGGAAGGAGGCGCCGTGCGGCAAGCACAGCCCGTGCAAAGGCCCCGGGGTACGATGGCTCCCGCGTGCTGGAGACCAGCGAGGAGGGGCGGCCGGAACCGAGCCGGAGGGGGCGGGGGCGGGGACGGGTCTACAGGGCCCTGTAGGTGTCAGGATAGCTTGAGCTCTTACTCCAGGGAGGTGGCAGCCCTGGAGGGCTGTGGGCAGCAGAGGGGCGGGACCCGACTAAGGGGCTCGCAGGCGCCCTCTGGTGGCTGCTGTGGGGACACAGGTGGGGGCGGGGCCGGTACAGGCGGGACACGATGGGGTGGACCCAGGAGCTGGCGAGATGGGGACCTATTTGCGAGATATTTGCGGGACAGAATCAACACGGCCTTGCCGATGGACCCGCGTTGGGAGAGGGTCACGCACACACAAAGCCGGCCCTGCGTGCGTGATGACAATCCTGGAATCTTCAAGACCCCAGGACCAGAAGCTCAGAGACCAAGGCTCGGCTCCCCGCGAGGCCTAAGCCCCGAAATCGCCCCTCACCCCCACCCCCACCCCGTTTTCCGTCTGTAAAACCGTGTGGTAGCCAGGTGGAAGGTGTGAGGCCTGGAGGCTCCTCCAACATCCGGTCACCCCTCCTGGCTCCTGGGGGACACGAGCGGGGATTTTCCAGGGACAAGATGGGGGACTGGCGCAGGAGGAACTGGAAAAGCAGCAAAAAGGGAAGGGGTGGCCTGGTCGGAACCCAGAAACAGGAAATGGGAGCAGGGAGGAGGGGTGGGGAGTGTGGGGAGCAGAGAGGGGGGGGTGCTCTCTGGCATCATCCCCGGGGACTCCCTGTCCCCTGCCCGTCCCCAGCACATCTGAGGCCAAGAAGGGCAGGTCCGGGGTGTCACCAGGTGTTACAAGTCCACTGGAGTCGAGGTCCGAGAAAAAGAGACACTTCTGTGTTGAGTGAAGCCCGTTAGCGGGGAAACGGGGGGCGGGGCACGCCGGTGGGACAGGAGCCAGGTGACCTCGGCCGACAGACTCCGCCATGCTCCTCGCCTGCTCTGGTCGTGGTCCTGGCGGTCTTCACTTTTTAGTGAGACTCTTTAGGGGTAAAAAGGTCTGCAGCTCACTCGCAAATGGTTCAGAAAAAATGGCCATGTATGTATTGAATACATAAATATACGGTGAATAAATCATCGCTATAATCTCGTATTAAATAAATTTTAAATGTGCACGCATAGACATGTGTGTACATATTTTGGGGGAGAATAAAGGAAATGTCAACATCTGCAGAAGAATCTCTGAGTCTGAGAGTATTTCCAAATGAGCTAAGAAAAATAAAAATGACAACCCTAAATGCACTGTGAGACGTTGGATTGGACACGGGGACAGCAAAGGGGCCTTTGTGGAAAAGCCTGTCACGTCGCGAAGTTCGCCATCTGGAGTTTAGTTAACAGTGATGTGACAGGAAGTGTCCCACATGACAGTCACGCTGCGGTTCTAGAAGACGTGACCGTGAGGCGAACCAGTTTAGGAGCGGAGGGGAACTCTGTATCAGCTTCACGACTTCTCTGTACATCTAAAATTATCCCCAATGAAACGTTTCCTTCAAAAAAAAATAGAGCACCCCACAGGTCCACAATCTGAGGCTCTCCGATGTGGGGCCCTATGTGTCTCAGATTCCAGAGGAAGGGGACATGTCATGCTTACTAAATATTCCGGGAGAGAAACGTCTAGAGGTCCCAGTCAGCTGTATGAACCCTCAGCTGCACTGTGGACACCGGCCAGGCCTCGGGGTGGGTGACCGGTGGCCGGCAGAGGCGGCTGGGCCAGCGCGCCCTCGAGAGCTAAGAGGGTGAAGCACCCCTGGCCCAAACCTCGGGGTGAGAGAGAGAGACAGAGGCAGACACGGCTCTTGATCCCACTTTGCAGGTGGGGAAACTGAGTCCCAGATGAGTTGAGGGGACTGCCTTAGGTCACGCAGTAAGCGAGTGAGCTAGCCAGGACTCAAACACAGTTCTGTCTGAATCCAGAGCTCCTGGGCTTTTAATTACCATAAAAAGCTGCCCAAACAACAACAATAATAATAACAACCGGCAGCAGCAGGGGAGGGGCGTGATTTCACGCCCGGTTCTCCGTGCGTGTCCTCGGCCAGCCCTCGTGAGACCCCGTTTACAGAGGCGATGTGGGGCTCAGGGAGGCGAAGTGCCTTCTCGAGGGTCACACGGCTGGTGGAGAAGCAGAGAGCCGGCCCCTCCCGGTCCCTCACCTACAGAATGGGACGCGGCCAGTTGGCCGGGTCGGGAGTCCCCAAAATACAAGCTAACACGACGTTTCTACAGACGCTCAGAAGCTGGACGCCTCCCCGGGAGACAGACACGGCAGGGCACGGCACCCCTTCACTTTCCTCTCGGTTGCCTTCCGGCTCTCAGACCTCGGGTCCCCCCAAAAGTATAGAGGACAAAGGTCTCAGAAGGCAACAGTTAACATGGTTGAGACACACTCATTCTTTTCCTCTTTTGTCTTATGAAAGAAAAAAAAAAAAAAGAAAAACCCGATCTTCACCCACAACATGAATTTTGCGACTCGTGACTGGGTCACAACCTGAATTCTGAAAAGCTCCCCGGGAGGAACCCCCTCTCTGCAGCCCCCCGCTCCTGGCCTGCTTCGGGAACCCCCACGTGGGGCAGAGGCCTCGCAGCCCAGACAGGAAGTGACACTTCCTCCTGGCGCCCGATGAGAAAGTGGAACCCAGCAGACACCTGGAGGAGCCGGGCCAAGCCTCGGGCATTGCGGGACCGCCTGCGGCTCCTGCACAGGTGACAGCCCCTAAGGTAAAAGGGGCCAGGCTGGGCAGCCTGGCAGAGGGGCAGGTGGCTCAGATTCTATGTCCTGCTCTGGCTCACACTGGCTGCTGACCCAGACCGAGCCTACTGCCTCCTCGGGCCTCAGTTTCATCACTGGGGTTCTGCGGCTTTTCCCTCTCGAGGCACGTTGACAGGGCGGTCAGGCACGTGGACTTGGAACTGTAACTCTAGGCTCCGATCCCGGCTGTGTGACTTCGGGCAAGTCGCTTCACCTCTCTGGGCCTTGGTTTCCCCAGCAGGGGTCACGAGTGGTGCCCACCTCAAGTGCTATGGCCAGAGCTGGCTTCATTCCGACTTTCCCTTCCCCTGTCATGGTGAGCGCTTCCTGTCAGGGCCAGACGGACACACACGCACTCACACACACACACACACACTGGCCCTTGGCCTTCTTCCTCAAAAGGATCAGCAAACCTCCAGGAAAGAATAACTTGAGATTCAATTCCTGGTCTCCAGAAGAGAGGGTGGCGTGGAGGTGGCTCTCAGGGCTGGGAAGGGGGTGGTCGAAACCGGTCCACAGGGGTCACGACATCCTCAATCCCATTTCCCTCCCCGTACCAGCAGAAGGGGCCTCCCGATCTGGGGCTGACTGTGCAGGGGGCGGAGTGGTGTGGGGAGATCACCCCGACTCAGGACTGGTTCATTCACTCATTCGTAGGGCGAGCACTGGCAGGCTCCCTGGACTCCTGGGCTAGATGCTGGGGACACGGGAGTGGATAAGACAAACACGGTCCCCACTCTTGCATCGTTTGCCGTATAACCGGAGAGACGGATAATAAACAAGTAAACACCCAGGAGAGTGTCGGCGAGAGAGCGAGACGAAGAAGAATCTAGCAGAAGACACAGAAGGATGAGCCCGTCTTTGCAGCCGGGGAATTCAGGGAAAACTTCTCTGAGGAGGTGACACTTGAGCTGAGACCTGCCTGGAGTGACAGTGCCGGCCGCGCAAAGGCTCGGGTGACACCGAGAGCTCCTGGCGGGTAGAGCGGCGAGTGCAAAGGCCCTGAGGTGCGGATAAGGGAACTCGGGGGCTGCGAGGAAAGATCGCAAACACCGATGAACCCCCCAGCCTGACGGATGAATAGTGGCCTATCTGTTAAAGGAGCCGGGCAGAGGTAGCTGTTGACGCAATTAAATTCTTAATTAAAAAGCTTCCGGGCTCACTCAGCTTCACTGGCGCTGTCACTAAACGCTTAAGGAAGACATGGAATATTCCACGACAAGCCGAGAAGCCAGCCGGCTGCCGCTGGAAGGTCACGACTGGTAGCAGGGGGCCTGAGGGGTCGCAGGGACAGAGTTCGGATTTTCCGGCCAGCTCCTTGGGGAAATAAACAGGGCG